AATTTAAAATGGGTCTCAATAGAGTTCAATAGTAGAGTGATATTCTTCATTATACGATATTACATTCAAACATAGAGAAACAACGCTACACAAATGCACTCATGTTTCGATATATATGAACACATCTCATGAGGCGTTAGCAATTGACTGATTATTACAATTATTAGGATTTCAATCACATACCACCTCTTTTCCCGCGAAAAAAGAAAGAAAAGAAAAAGACCAAGAAAAAAAAAACTCAAGATATAATGCCTTTTCCAGAGAAAAGGAAGAAGAGAAAGAAAAAATCTACAACTTAGAAAAAGCGATACAGACATATACAGCAAGACAGAGATAGTGAGAGATATGTTTTTCACCGTTATTTAACACAATAACAATTGTAAATTTTAAACAAAAAGAAAAAGTGAATGTAAAAATCATGAGGAATTAAAGAATATTTCTCTTTTATTAAAGGATTTTTTCATATTCCTTATTTCTTCCGTTGGCTTTATTTTTTTAGATGTCAGATTAAACCAGAGAAATCATTCTTTGAAGGTGAATTTTAAAAAATCACAAATTTTGAATAAGTATAATTTGGAGCTCAGCTGTATAATGACGTTTCGAATTATATAAAAATAAAATGAATGATTTAGTCTATGGATTACTTTAAAGATTTAATAACGAGATTAAATCTGTTATACCTTAAGATAATTTCACCATAAAATTCTTTGAGTCCTTCTTACTATTTCAAATCGAATATGCTACGTTCAAATAATGCTGAAAACACTGGTTTGCCTTCGATGATCGAAAAGTACTTAGATGGTTGACGCCTTGACAATGTTACTGTATGCAATGTCCTACACTCGGAAATATGTTTCGATTTTAAATAACCTACAAATCGTTGATAAGTCGTAAAAGGCAAATCAATTTGTCATAACGGTGATAAAACTGATGAATGTGTTCTTTCACTCTAGTTGTAACAACTTCAGCAAGCGGTACAATTTGTATGAGAATCCTTGTTCCACAAGCATCAAATCATTCTGAAACGTAAACGTCAATACAATAGCTACTACTATTGATGATGACGATGATTAAAATTCTTACGCTGCTAATATTTCTTCTCTCATCTTTTACTACTGTCACCTTTTATTTGAAGAATCGTATTTCTTGAATAGCTTAGATCTCAAGAATTCTCTTGAGAATGAACGTTAAAGTCCGTGTAGTTCGAATTGTGCAGTCAAGATTACTACTTTCTTTCTTTTGAATCTAAATTGTAATCAGATGCATTATCCAAAATTGTTCTATTAACGTTTCTAATATTGATTATTGTACTTGTTAAAACAATATGGAAAAGAAAAGAGAGATAAAAATATTAAAAATTAAATATTTTAAATATTTGACACTAGAGCTGGGATGATATACTAAAACTGATTTACGTTTTGAAAGGCAAACAAAATTGTTATTAGTTGTAGCAAAGGAAGTATAATCTTGTTAATTGTAGCCTTTAAAACGATTTTCGATTGTGGTAATTACCGTCTAGCTTGTATCTGTGAAATGTCGTGATATTGGGGTGATGGCTATGGACTTAACAGTCACGATTATATTGATGGCGGCTTAGTAATCACTCAAACCTTAAATGCGGAAAGAATCAATATGGCGGTTGATGTTGCAAGGTAAAAGGCTTATCATGTTATTTCACTATCGGATGAACCATCTTCTCAACGGCTTCGAGGAAAGAAACTAATATAGATAATGCAGATATAACATAAAATTCTAATATCTGTGTTAAGAGGATTTGAAAAAAATGGTTCTTGATATTCACAAGTATTCATGCACAGAGACAAAATGGGAGGATTGAATTAATGTAATTCTGGTGGGGAAAAAACATTTCAGCAGACAGTGAGATAATGACAAGCGCGCGCGCGCGCACACACACACACACACACACACACACACACACACACACACTCAGAGGATTGATTATGGCAACAGTCACCGACTTAAACAACGAGACCGTCCAGAATAGTAGCTGAAGATTGCGAAGTCGTTTGGCGGCCGTGGTTGAAGCCAATGGCGATATTATTGAATACATTTACTCTTTAGTATTTCAAGATATTTTTGCGTAGCTTTGGTAAATATATCTGTTAAAATGAGATTCCAGTGGTAGTTTTATGTTTGCGTAATTTAGACGAAAATTTATCCATCGCACCTTTACACACACACACACTCACACACACACACAGAGAGAGAGAGAGAGAGGGGGGGAAAGAGAAAGAAACAGAGATGCACGGTGGTGTAATGGATATTGGGGCTCAGATTGCGGAATCGGAGATCCGAGTTCGAATTCCAGTCGAATCCATTACATTCACTTACGTACTAATACCCATAGGTATGAACCCATCTCTTCTTCCCACTCCCAGCTATGGGTAAATAGCAGGATACGTTGTTTCTTATAGCCGTTTGTGTGGTGAACGTTCTAGGAGTATGACAACTCTTCATTCAAAGCCCAAGGTGGGTCGTTTGTGGTATATTGTGCGCCATCTCAAAACCTTCACCACTATGACATGTGCAAATAGCTTGTCTCTTGGTTCTAAGAATTGAGCTGCTTTATCCTTATATGTCGAAAATGATGGGAGAGTCCAGTGTATAAACAGATATAAGAATTTTTATTCGGACTGTTATCCTCAATCTTCATTGCTATATTCACAATGTTTTGGCCGTTGTACGCTCCGGCCTTTATGTCTATGTCTCTCTTTATATCTCTGTCTATATCTCTGAGATAAGGTATTATAATTAATTGAATTATTTACATTATTCGGACTGTTATCCTGATCTTCATTGCCATATTCACAACGTTTCGGCCGTTGAATAAAGACGTTGGTTACATCCAGTGACTAGACCCAAACATCTGTCTATATCCCTGAGATGAGGTATTATAATTACATTATTTACATTATTCGGACTATTATCCTCATCTTCATTGTCACATTCACAACGTTTCGGCCGTTGTACGGTCCGGCCTAGTTCAGATGATTAAAATTTCAAACCGAAACTTTAATTTCGTCGACAAAGGTAGATTGTTCTAGTTCCACGTGCCATGCCTCTTCTGGATGTATAATCATTTCTCTTTAATTCAACTCTCCATGTTTTGGTTCACCACTGCTGTGGCCTAGTATTGAATTCACTAATCGTTGGGTCTAGTCTCTGGATCTAACTAACGTGTTTATCTCCAGAATAGACAGTTATTTATTATAGTATATTATGAAATTAAAACGACGTCTCAATATGATTAAACATCGAAAGACAGTACATTGCATATACACAGCTAATACTGGTTTGGTTTGTTTTGGTTTGTTTTGTTTTACGGCATATCAACCTCAATGGTTTATTTAATGCCGACAAAATTTTTATTGCTGGTAATATTTTGTTCTGTCAAAAATCTATTTCTGGTAATATTTTTCCTTCAAAATTGTATTGCTGGTAATAGTTTTTTTCAAAAAAGTATTGCTGGCAATATGTTTTTTTCAAAAATGTATTGCTTGTAATATTTTTCTTTTTTTTTCTTCAATAATTTATTGCTGGTAATAATTTTTTACAAAGTATTTCTGGTATTAAAACCTATTTTTACAATTTCATTTTTTTTATCCCAGTTTCGTGGTTAACTATTTGCCCATAGCTGGGATTCTAACAGGTGCTACCACCCCGGGTCAGGGTGGACCTGGGAACATTCTGCAATTAAGAGGTGGTTCCACGTTTCTCAAAACCTCCTGATCAGAGGCCTTGCTGCTGGACGTAGTTTATCGTCTTACCCAGGACGCGGATGTAGTTTATCGTTATACTCAGGATTACAGCTAATACAGACAAGTTTTAATGGATAATTTAGCGGGTAGAAAATTGGTTATCAGCGGACATTTTTTAAAGAGTAAATATTCACCCGCTATAAGGCCCAAGAGTAGAAGGTTACTGAGATAGATAGATAGATAGATAGATAGATAGATAGATAGATAGATGCGTATAGGGCAAGAAGGATGCATAGGTACATATGAACAGAATGAGATAGATAGTTATGAACAAATTGCGATAGATATAAAATTGATAGGTAGCTGATATATATATATATATATATATATATATATAGAGAGAGAGAGAGAGAGAGAGAGAGAGAGAGGAGCTAGCTAGCTAGATAGCTGTGAATAGGATGAGATAGATATGAAGAATCTGAAATAAGTAAATCGATATAAAGGAAATGAATAGGTAAGAACAACTCAGATAATATACTAGTTCAGTATCCCAATAAATATCGATTATAATCAAGTAATATGACCACGCCCATTGTCGTCGCTTTTTCTTCTCATTAACAAACTACTTAATTGTTTTAAGGTTTGTTTTTACTTCTTATTTTATTTTATTTTATTTTTTTTTTGTATTTACGATGACGAAATGCCCCGTTCGGTCTCATCTCATCAGAAAATGACGATAGCGATAAATAGCATTAATAAAGAAGAAGAAAAAAAAAGATTATTTTCATTTGCAATTCAACAAAATAGTATTCAATATAATATTTGAAATATTGTCTTCTTAGTTTTTAGAGTCAAAACGTTGTTGTACTTCTTCACATACCTATTATCTGTCGTCTTTGGCAATATACTCGGAATTTCTCATACCGCCAGGGGAGATAACTCGGGGAATTTAAAAAAACAACCTCAGAGTTGCTATTTGAAGAAAAAAGCCAAAGTTAAAGAAAAACTGCTCAAGACAATACATGATTAACTGACTGATTTGTTATCTACGGCTTATCATTGCAGGTTATTTAAAGCCAGAAAATATTTTTAAATGGTAAGAATTTAATTATTTCAGTAATAATTATTATTTAGTTTTACTACCCAAAGTTGGGGGGGAGAGGTTGAGTCATATCTTTCCCAAGCTTGTTTGCACGGAATTGAAGATAACCAGACTTGGAACTCAGCTATCTGATTAACAACTGCGAGTCATTGTCCATCAACCACACGCACATCCACGTTTACAGCCACTGGTATTCCCAGGTGGTGACACATCTAGGTACTGAGCAGGCTCAACGATGCTTAACTTCGGTGATGGTACAGGAACTTGTGCTTCAACGTGATATTGCCGTAAGGCAATAAAATGCAATGCCTTATATAAGAAATTCGGGTAATCAAACTTTTATGATGGCTACACGGTTTAACGGACCCGATTTTTATGTTAGATATGGAGACGACGCCTCTTGTGTTTAACAGTGAAGTTTTCCATCAAACAGTTAATACGTTGCAATCGGAGTTTCAGTTCATGTGTGAGGAGAACAATCGAATTACATAGATAGATAGATAGATAGATAGATAGATAGTGAGGTTTTCTATCAAACACTTAATACTTTGTACACATTTCACATGTGAGAAGAACAGTCGTGCTCGTCCTTTTCTTGATGTCATCACACAGGGATTAAATTCAGGATTTCTTACATCGGTGTATCGTAAACCAACTTTTAAGGATTTATATATACTGTGGGGGTTCCTTTTATTCTAAACGGCAAAAAATCCTCTTGATTAAAATCTTAGTTGTTCAGGCCTTGGTAATATGTTCTTTAACTAAATTTGATGCTGAAATTGAATTTATTAGGAATGTCCGAATAATAATAATAATAATAATAATAATAATAATAATAATAAGTTGAAACCGAAGGTTTTATTCTTGCCCCGAAGTAGTAGTATTAGTAATATTACCGTGTATAATCAACAAGTGAGTAATTATGGGAATAAATAGGAAAAAGTAGAATGAGATAGATAGATAGATAGATAGATAGATAGATAGATAGATAGATAGATGTGAATAGGACGAGATAGATAGCAGTTGAAGGAGATAGCAGTCGAGCAGTCGAAGAGATAGATAGATAGATAGATAGATAGCAGTCGAAGAAGATAGATAGATAGATAGATAGATAGATAGATAGATAGAAGATAGATAATGAATGAGATAGATAGATAGATAGATAGATAGATAGCAGTCGAAGAAGATAGATAGATAGATAGATAGATAGATAGATAGATAGATAGATAGATAGTCGAATGAGATAGATAGATAGCTAGATAGATAGATAGCAGTCGAAGAAGATAGATAGATAGATAGATAGATAGATAGTCGAATGAGATAGATAGATAGCTAGATAGATAGATAGCAGTCGAAGAAGATAGATAGATAGATAGATAGATAGATAGATAGTCGAATGAGATAGATAGATAGATAGATAGATAGATAGATAGTCGAATGAGATAGATAGATAGCTAGATAGATAGATAACACTCGAAGAAGATAGATAGATAGATAGATAGATAGATAGATAGATAGATAGATAGATAGCAGTCGCAGAAGATAGATAGCAGTCGAAGAAGATAGATAGATAGATAGTATCCAGGCGACTCGATCTTTTATCTCCAGCGTAAACCATTTTCTGATAAAACATAATTCTCAATTTAATGACTGAATACGCACCTTTTGATTTCCAGAAATCTCATTAATAATACGTAATGTGCATCGACCAATCATGAGGTTGTTTTCACTGTTAAGTAGATCATATACTGACTTTCATCTGCAAGATATTGAGAAAAACTACATTAAATCGAAACAGCCTTTTTTGTGCAGACGAAAGGAATGCTTGTTGGCTATGTGTGCGTCAATATCTTATTGATATATGTGTATTTTTGATGCTTATTTTCCTGTTTCTTTTAGTCGTTGTACATATCCTCTTGTATTTCCTCTAAGAAATTAAGTCGAGATGCCAGGATCTGACCAATAATATTACAGAGCCTTCATCGGATTTTTTCGAGTATCTCAAGATATATAGGATGAATACATGATCAAATATAGCACGGATGAATGATAGAATTTTAAATCTGCAAGATTTAGCCATGGAAATTGCATCGTAAAATCTTTGAAATTAACAACTAATATTCGAGATTAAAAAATATTGCAATAGCAGTCAATAGTATAAATGCAGGTTGTTATTTAAAGAAGTAAGAGGTTAGAAATTAAAAAATAATAATTAAAAGGTTTTCCATTTCACTAAAGCAGACATTAAACGGATGAGAGCGATATGACTTCCTCTTTCTATTATTTTTTTCTATTTTTCTGAGAAAACCCAGATATATCTTTTTTTTTCTTCCTCCTTTCCTCACAGGTAATAGCAACTCGTAAATTCGTTACTCACAACAGTAATTGTTGTTATTCTTTACCTTCTTGCAACACATCGACACAACTTCGACATATTCTCGGGGGAGGCTAGACAGAAGTAAACAAAAGAGAATGAAGTTTATTCTGACCGCTTCTGCTATATTAAGAAAAGGTTCTTACTTATCATAAACAAAGCGAACGACCCGTTTAGTTTGTTAAATCACAAGAGGTAAACCGGAAATAAACTTCTTACCAGTAACCAACAATATATACTGCGCGAAAATGAAATAATAATAATAAACAAAATGATTGATGAGCTAAAATAAACATCTTACTCACAACAAGCATCATATGTTGCGCGAGAGCAAACTAACAATAATGCTTGGCGCCTCATTTATTTGCATTTTCTAATACATAAAAATTGTCTTTTGAAGTCACTGATTGAAGGAGCAACTTGTACTATATAAAGCAAAGTTAGGGGTTAGGGTTATAATAATAATAATAATAATAATACCCAGTTACGGAGATAGGATCTGTAACAATTTTATGGGACTACACAATATACACAGACTGAACAAACAAAGCTAACCGCCCTGACATTGTTATTAGAGACCGCAAAAAAAAAAGAAAAAAAGAAAAATGAAATAAATTAAAAAAAAAGAAAAAAAAAGAAGTCTCCTTATTGATATCGCAGTCCCTGCAGACTGCAATGTATCTTTGAAGATCTTCAAAAGGCTTTCAAAATATAAGGACCTTGAAATCGGAATCTCAACAATCCTTGTTGTAGTTGGAGCCCTAGGATTGATTGGAAAAGATTCCAATAGACTCATTGAAGGGATTCCTTGTAGCCTAGGTCTTAAAGAAACATAAAAAAGTGTTCTCACGAATACAGCCCACACCTTACGAAGGGTTTTATCTATGTAAAATATGTGTGTTGTTGTTTTTTTTTTTTTTTTTTTTTCTTTAATTGGTCATTGGAAAATGTCATGATGCCATTTCTGACCTTAGGTCTCTGGTCGGGGCCCGCAAAGAAATGAGTATACACCAGAAATCAAAGGAAATAAAATAATAATAATCATAGCTACTATTACATATAACAGTATATCTTTGAAAGATAGAGAACAAATATTTAGATTTCAGAAAATAACTGAAAAATATTGTGGAGCTGTGCCGATCATCTTGGGAGCACTTGAAATGGTCTAAAAGAACTTCGCAAAAAGTACGTAAGAACTGTGAAGAATAACTGTATTAAAACAGCTGGAATACTGAGCAATGTCTTGGAGTATTGAGGTGACTAACACATTTAATCTTTAGTGACCACCATTGACTACCAATTAGGCTAATGAAATCCGTTTTACTGTAAAATTATTTTTAAATTCCGGGGGGTTAAAAATATAATTAATTGTTAAACCATGATATTCATGCAAAAACGCATAGAATTAGTGATAAATGAAAAACCTTTGACAAGATGAATTTATCAAATATCTTAAAAAACATCAGAATGTTTCTATTGTAATATGTGTCTACCTTCATCAGCATGGTTTGCATTATGCCCTAAAAGAAGAAATATCAAATAAAATTGATCAGATAACAGATATTTAAAGATTTTATTGCAACTACAAAATTTAATCAATGGCACGAAAACAGATATATAAAAAAAGAAAAGGAAAATGGATGAAAAATAACCTGGCTTAATAAAGTAAAATTGGTATTTCATCTTGAAAATGACCTACAATCAGGGGCAAGAAATGACTTGCGAATTGGAACATCACCAGAACGAAACTGTTAATCATCATAGGGAACCGTTTTTGCCTTCCATTAGGATGGATGATGCTAACCTCCAAGACAGCAACTCTATCCGTATTTTTGGTCTCACCTTTTCCACTGACATAATATCGAATGATTAGACTGAATCAATTGCTCAATCTGCTGCTAGGAAAGAGGATTTACTGTGTCGTGCCAGACAATTATTCTCGCCAGAAAACATCTTGCAGATTTAAAAATCTATCATACATCCGTGCCATATTTGATCACGTACTCATCTTATATAATCGAAAAAATCCGATGAATGTTCTGTAATGTTATTGGTCAGATCCTGGCATCTTGACTTCACTTACTTTTTCAACTTCCTAATGTGCTTTTCCTCTGTATTATCTATAAATATTTCCATGGCAACTGAGCTTGCTTCCTTGGTAGGCTGACGGTAGGAATTTAAGCAGAGTACTAGATTGGCAACCTGGTCGTACTGTTTTATTGTGGAAATAGCTAACTGTAACCGCAAGTTCTATTCTAATACTTTCTTCTCTCACACTTCTCGCTTGTGGAACTCTCTTCCAGTTTCTTGCTTCCCTGAGACTTACGATCTTCAAAAAATTAAATACTGTCTTCTAGAATTCTGTTCTTTCTCCTCACTAGCGTTTTCTAATTCTCTTACTATATTCCTTGTGTCTTAGTGGTATTATCACCTTGCTTGATGAGAAAAAAACCCGCAATAAATGGCAATACATAAAATAAAAAAAGAAATCATATTAGAAAAGAGCTGACTGTTGTTCCTCTCTCACCAGAGCAAATACAAGACTCTGCACAACGACTAAAAGAAACAGAGGAAAATAAGCATAAAAAAAACACATATATCAATAAGATATTGACGCACACATAGCCAACAAGCATTCCTTTTGTCTGCACAAAAAAAAGGCTGTTTCGATTTAATGTAGTTTTTCTCAATATCTTTCAGATGAAAGTTAGGATCTACTTAACAGAGAAAACATCCTCATGATAGGTCGATGCACATTACCTATTATTAATGAGATTTACGGAGACTGCAGACCTGGATGACACAAGACGATTAAACAAATTGTCCACTCAACCATTCCTAACGTACGCTGTTACATGTTGTGGAATTTTCTTCTGTCTTTTTGTTTTTTTATAGCATTGATTAAATAAAATTTAATAGAAAAAAAAAGAAAAGCTGTAATAGAAATCCAGATAGCAAGATTGTAACTTATCTTCGTCTCCATTCCAACGACTGGGGTTATCATCTATCTATCTATCTATCTATCTATCTATCTATCTATCTATCTATCTATCATTTCATAATGTGTGATTCATTTGTTTACATTGGGATACGCATCGAGCAGATATGAATGTACGTGAGGAAATCAAGGAAAATTGTAGTTTAAAAACAGTAAAATCGACTTTGCTAACCGAAATGCTGTGGCGAAATCGGTAAAAGCACTTCGTATTTTTCTTTCATTTGTTTCCTTAACATCTCCATTTTTTGCTTCACGCTTTCTTCCCGATTTTTTTTATGATGTTGATTTATCCGATTCAAAGGTTGTGTGAAAATGTTGGATTCTTTTTCGTTTTTCATGCCGTGTTCTTTCAGGATGTTGACGACCCATAATTTCTTATTTTTGTTGCTCTTAGAAACATTTGTCTCCTTAGTAACCACCACTCTCAGTTCTAACATCCATTTACGCATGCTTTTTAGGCAGGTTACTCCATTATCTGTCTATATTTCTGAGATGAGGTATTACATTATTCGGACTATTGTCCTCATCTTTGTTGCTATATTTATTACAACGATTCGGCCATTCAGTATCTGTCTATATTTCTGAGATGAGGTCTTATGTACACTATTTACATTATTCAGACTATTGTCCTCATCTTTGTCGCCATATTTATTCCAACGTTTCGGCCGTTGTACGCTCCGGCCTTCTTCATTCCAACCACCTGAAGAAGGCCGCAGCGTACAATGGCCGAAACGTTGGAATAAATATGGCGACAAAGATGAGGACAATAGTCCGAATAATGTAAATAGGTTACGCCATGTTTTTCTCTGTTCCTCTTGTCTTCAGTATGTCCTATAAGTGTCAAACTCTGCAAGCCCTCTTTCCTCTTTATGTGCTTCAGAAATTTCATCTGTTTTTTTCGGGTCCTAAAAAAAGAATTCTTTTCGTTTTTATTTTCATTAAAACTTCGTCATTACTCACATGTTCTATCCATGATATTTGTAAAATTCTTATTGTGTACAACTTCCCACAAACCACACTTTTTTGTAATTAAACGTATCACCATCATCATCACCATCATCTTCACTCACATAACTGGTTATGGTCGTAGAGCCAAGGTGCAGATGTGCACCTGAGAAGATTCTCCACACACTTCGGTTGAAAGATGGATAGGTATTCATTCATATATAGTTCATCCCCTTTCAAATGAAACCACAGATGATGGCCTGGAACTTGAAAGCTCGTCTTGGTCACAGACATACGTGGCTGTTGTTCTTACCGAGAAAACTCTTCGCTCTGGCCGTTTAGTTCACTCTTGAAGCCCTTCGCTCAGTGATTCCATTTCATCACCTCAGCTGCTATATATATATACATATATACATCGTGGCTGTTCTCTCGGTTTCGAGCGTGACCACTTTCCTTTATTTCATGTCCTCACCCCCTCCCACTCCCCTCAAATTCTATGTATTCGCTTGTGACTCTTCAGGCTAGCCAAACTGCGACAAATTTTGCAACAGAATTGGCATACCCAATCAGTTTTGTTTACAGTGACATTATTCGGGTGCACACTAGGTTTTGCACATTTACGCAAATGGCATTTGAAGCCGGCAAAAGATAGGCACAATTCTCCGTATATGTCACAATTAACGTGGTGAATTTGTGGACCCGGTGCTGGACCCTGTTCGCCTTTACGAATCAGACGTTTTTAGGCAATGTACTGCATACGGCTATTCTCAAAGGACTCAATGCCTTCGTGAATTAGTTTCCGCCACTTACTTTTATCCAAAGCCATTTTTTCCCATTGGTCAACAGATAGTCCAGATTGTTTTAGATAAGATTTTATTGTGTCCTTAAATCTCTTCTTCGGCTTTGATGCATTTCTCTTTCCTTCCCACATTTCACTATAGAACAGCCGTTTTGGTAGACGACTGTCATCCATACGCGCAATGTGACCGACCCATCGGAGACAATTTTTCATTACCATCAACTGAATGCTTGGTAGCCCTGCTTTCTCTAATACTTCTGTATCTGAGACATGGGACTGCCATGTGATATGAAGTATCTGTCTCAGACACCGTTGATGGAAGCCCTCAAGAAGTTTTACTTGATGTTTATACAGTGTCCATGTTTCGCTTGCATACAGGAGGGCTGTCAAAACATACTTTGTACACAATGATTTTCGTATGTAACTTGATATCATGCTGGGACCACACACGATTTCTAAGTGCTGAAAAAGACCAAGAAGCCCTTTCAATGCGGAAAGAGATTTCTCTGTTGAGGCTGCATCCTTCAGAGAGGGTACTGCCAAGATATACAAAAGAATGTACTGCGTCTAATTTATTTCCTTCAACAAAGATAGTTGGTTCCATATAAGGTGTTCCGGATTCTGGATCATACATGACGACTCTCTTTTTTTGGTTGATCCTTAAACCGAATGAGTTACATGCAGATACAAAATGGTTCATAAAGCATTGTAGCTCATCTTCAGAATGTGCAACGGTGTCACAGTCATCCGCGTAGAGCAGCTCCCTCACCGAGGAGGAAGAGACTTTTGTTTGAGAAAGCAGTCTACGGATATTATATACACTGCCAGATGTCCGATATCTGATGTAAATACCGTTTGGGTTTTCATAGAAGGCCAGGAGAAAGACGATGGCGAAGTAGATATTGAATAACATGTGTGAAGAAATGTCACCCTGTTTGACCCCATTGTTTATAGGTATTTCTTCAGATAGAGTGCCGTTAAAGCTAACTCTAGCCTTCATTCCGCCATGAAGAGAACGAATCAGACCCACAAACTTCTCAGGGCAACCCAGCTTTCTTTCAAAGAGTTGATCTGTTTTCGGTATCAAATGCTTTTGATAAGTCAATGAAACACTGGTACAACGGAAGATTTTGTTTTTTGCACTTCTCTTGCAATTGCCGAGCACTGAAAATCATATCCACAGTGCCGCGGCTTGCACGGAAACCACACTGTGATTCTGGTAGTATTCCATTGACAATTGTGTGGACTAATCTATTTAAAATAATCCTTGAAAAAACCTTTCCAACAGTAGACAGCAAAGATATACCCCTAAAATTGCCGCAGTCCAACCTGGAACCCTTCTTATACAAAGACACAAGTATTGCATCTCTCCAGTCCTGAGGTACTTCACTTCCCCATGCATTTTGGATGACTTGCTCCAGGAGATCGATCATTCTCTCACCGCCATTCTTTAGAATCTCTACTGCTATACCATCCATTTCTGGCGCTTTGTTGTTTTTCATTTGACTCACAGAAACTTCTATCTCACCTCTGGAAGGTACTTCATCAAGAGCCATAATTGAGATCTAGTACAGATTCATCAACGACTTGATGGTGATTAAGGAGTTCGCTATAATCTCACACCATCGTTTCTAGATATCCTCTGGTTGTCTCATTATGGTACCGTCTTTTGATTTGAGAGGAGCAAAAGTTGATTGCTGCGGACCATAGAGCTCTTTGATTATTTGGTAAAACAATCTCGAGTTTTTACTGTTTGCTGCAAGTTGTGCCTCTTCTGCTTTCTTGAGCCACCACTGGTTTTTTGGATTTCGCGCATACGTGTTTGTGCCACTTTTTGGAAATCCTTGTATGTTTTTGTAGATTCCATTTTTGCTTGGTTAGATAGACTTGATGACAAGGTTTTCTGGAAAAGATTGCGTTTTGTTTCAAGAAGTGCATCAATTTCCTCATAATCTTCAGCAAACTAGTCTTGGCACTTCTTTTTCTGAACTCCTAAAATGTCATGAGCCGCTGAAAGAACTTTCACTTTGAAATTCTCCCATAAATTTGTTTCATCTAGGTCGATAGAGGTAAGTGCATTCTGGAAGATGATCTTTGTTTCAGGGAGATGAAAAAATTTTGAGACCTCAAACCTTTTTTGCTTTTTTTGTGCTTGATGCGGTGCTATGTCGTGCTTTGGGGCGGATTCTAAGTTTCATTTTGGCTCTTACCAGGTGATGATCCGTCCAACATTCAGCGCCTCTCATAACTCGGACATGGTGAAGATTCTGGAGATCACGCCGACGAACAATAACACAATCAATCATCTGCCAATATTTAGAACGTGGGTGTTGCCATGTGTCTTTGTATTTGTTTTTCTGACGAAACCACGTGTTTCCAATCACAAGATTGTGCTCGTTGCAAAACTGCAAGAGCTGAAGGTCATTGCTGTTTGCATTTTTCACTCCATGTGAACCTAAACATTTCCAAGTTTGAGAATCCCGCCCCACTCTCGCATTGAAGTCGCCAAGTAGAATGATCTTATCATCCTCAGGGATATTGAAAAAGAGTTGCCTTAGCTCATCATAAAAAGAGAGTATGTTTGTTTCAGGGGAGTCTATGGTTGGGGCATAAACCGGCACGATTTTGACAAAACGTTTTTGTCGCAGAGGCAGACGTACAGAAATAATGCGTTCTGATTTACCAAAAGGAAGTTCCTGCAAGTTTTTTAATAGGGAGGATTTGATGGCAAAACCTACACCGTGTTTTTTCTCTTCATCAGCAGGTTTCCCCTTCCAAAAGAAAGTATAACCAGAGCTTATCTCTGTGAGCTGGCCATTATCAGCAAGACGTATCTCAGAGAGACCAGCAATGTCTATGTCATAAAGAGAAAGCTCCCTGGCCAACAGAGCAGTTCTGCGATGCAGCCTTTCAGACAGCTCATTGTCAAGTAATGTTCGTACATTCTATACGGAACCGTCATATAGCCTGACGTGCTTTTACCGATTGAGCCACAGAGGAACGTTTCGGTTAGCAATGTCGATTTTACTGTTTTTAAGCTACAATTTTCCTTGATTTTCTCACGTACATTCATATATGCTCGATGCGTATCCAAATGCAAACAAATGACGTCACACATTATGAAATGATAGATAGATAGATAGATAGATAGATAGATACAGAAATTGAGCCAGGGCTATCCTCTCGTGATAGATGACCCTACAAGAAAATTCCATTCCCCTTTTAACAGCTCTTGATTTTAATCCAGCTGCATGTAGAGACACTCTTCTCGACAGAGATGTTTGGTAAGGGAACAGGCTATGTTGCTGATTAACCAACCATCCCATAGAACACAGATGCAAGGCAGAAGTGCCAGCTCATGCGTGAATAGTCGTGTCTTGCCATGACGGCTTTTATGCTAGTTAAATTAAATTAAACGTGTTAAGAATCAATTTGTTATCAACTGAACAGGAAAATTGCCAACCTTTGACGGATTTTAAACTTAGCTTCAGTCAGAATGAAAGGAAAGTATGATGATGTTGCGTCAACCTTTTAAGCTTTCTTATCGGAAAAATTAATTTCATGTTATGAATTGATTGATTTTCAGCTGAAATTTTCTCGTCCTATCATCATTGATGAATGAAAATGTCAATGGGTCAGTAATAAAACATTAATGTTGATATTCACCCAGTTATTCACGCCACCCGAGCTGTTGAATGTATTATTCTTTTCTTATTTCTGAATCCGTCGAAGAAATACAAAGTCCCCTCAGAATTTTAGCGCAAAATAAGATAACACGACGATATTAGCAGCGTACCCATAAAAAATTAACGGGTTTATTCACGAATGAATCGGCGCTTCTACCTACAATGCGATACTCTACTCTGGCTACGATAAGAAATTAAGATCTGTCACACACCCACTGCCGTGCACTGGCATTAAAATGCGGTGCTGCGTTCGTGTCTTCGGGTAGTTTATGGCCGAACGGTGGAGTAATGGATATCGACTCGGATTGAGGAATCGGAGAGTCGAGTTCGAATTCTAGTCGAATCAATTACATTCACACATGTGCTAATATCCTTGGGAAAAGTTTGAATTCTCCTCTTCAGCTATTGGCAAGTAGCAAGACAGCCCGGGTTCTTTAACCTTGGATGGCAATTGGTCTACTGCAGAAAGAAATAGCAATCTACGGCAGATAAAAAAAAACTGCCTCTTTCGATACATGAACGCCTAAACGTGTATCACGTATGGCACATAACTGACTGCCTGAGGAGAGATTTCAGACTTACTATAGAACCTCCCCATTATAGTAAATGATACGAGTCGGATTACCCGGACTGTTGTGTGACAGTGGTACCTCGGGACTTGGTAGTTCTTGTCTTTTATCTATGTATATGGCGTCATACGTTAATCTTGCATAAATTTACGCATTTCCAGTATTCGAGCTTGGCCCAAAGAAGGACGCATAGCACAGGAGATGCCAACCCTACAAAAGTACCCGTGCGAAAGAAAAGGTACGGGAGACCGATACCAGCACCCCACCAGCACCCCACAAAAGAAGAAATTTTAAGGAGACCGATACCAGCAGTTTTTAAAAGAAGAAAAGTTACGGGAGACCGATACCAGCACCCCCGCAAAAGAAGAAAATTTACGGGAGACCGATACCAGCACCCCCTCAAAAGAAGAAAAGTTACGGGAGACCGACACCAGTACCCCCACAAAAGAAGAAAAGTTACGGGAGACCGATACCAACACCCCCTCAAAAGAAGAAAAGTTACGGAAAACCGACACCAGTAGGCTAATATCTGCATTGGAAACGTAGCTAACATATTTGTGTATTTCTAATGCCAATTTTCAAGGCTTCCCCACGTCGACACAAAGCGAACCTTCTCTTCCTGGACTGAACTAAAACCCGACATGACAAAGTGTGCTAATATCTGCATTGGAAACGTAGCTAACATAGTTGTGTATTTCTAATGCCAATTTTCAAGTCCTCCACACATCGCCTCAAAGCGAACCTACTCTTCCTGCACCGAAATGAACGGAGCTTAGCGAATAAAGGTATCAATGCATTTCTTTTTTTTTTTAAAAAAAAAAAAAAATCTCCTAATGGACGTCGACATTGCAATTTCTTTGTGTGCGTCATCGCAACAAAACATTCAAGTGTCTGCCTGAGTTGCTGGCTTTGCGGCGTTAGCCTAAAAATAAAACTTCTCCGGAACATAGAAGTTTAAGACCGAATAATCGATTTTCTGTCACCGACTGCGATCAGATTCGATATGGTGCCATAAGGGAACGGGGGTCTTATTAACTGATTCTAACTGCATATATTGCGTCCACAGAATGACGCGCATCAAAGCAAGTGCGATTTGCGCCTTTCTTCATCACACACATACACGAAACAAAATACGTATTTAGCATAAAAGGCATCCGATTCTCATCACTATATATATATATATATATATATATATATATGTGTGTGTGTGTGTGTGTGTGTGTGTGTGTACGTGTATGCATATATATATATGCTTGTGTGTGTATGCACATATGTATGTGTGTGTTTATGTAATATATATACGTTTGTACATATCCACACATACATATATGCATACATACCCATATATAGAAATAAAGAGTATATGACCGTTCTTCACACACATATACAGGTTGCGATGGGTAAATTGTCGTAATTTTATGTTTTAATTTTGCGCATGTGCGTTGTTCCTTTTGATTTTTGTCGACTGCACAGTAATAGGGTCAGTTGGGCAACGTCTGTGCGAAAAAGAACACTTTTACGAAAATCAGTCCATCAGAAATTTAGAAAAAGCCTGCTGTACTGCTTGACATTCGCACCAGAAGCTCCAATACGAACATTTCAAAGAGTTTGGGTGTCAGTCTGAGGAGAGTGTAAAGGATTGGGAAAGAGTTGGATGATTCTAATGGTGATTGCGAAGGTACGGCTGCAAGGAGAACCCACTCTATCGTTCTGATAAGAAAAGAACTCCCAAATTTGTTGGTGAAGGACTCAGACTCAACACGGAGGCCTACATCAAGTGCCTCGAGAAGGGAGTGCTGCTCTGGGTCAAGAGGATGGTTGCTGGAAAACCCTATGTCTGGCAACAGCACTCGGAACCATGCCACACAAGCGGGAGAACCCAGTCATGACTGTCAGACAATTTCTGCAACCATATCATCCCTTCTATCTGGCCCCCTAACTCCCCAGACTGAACCCCTTGTTTATTATGTGTGGGGCGCAGTTGAGCAAGAGACTAACAAAACTTTTTGTAACACCAAATATAAACTAAAGCTAAGGATTATGTCAGCATACACCAACTTAAACAAGGAAGCCGTCCAGAAGAGTTGCAGGAGATTCCGAAGATGTATGGAGGCCGTGGTTGTGTCAATGTCGATTTTGTATTTCAAGATCTTTTTTTGTGCAGTTTTGGTAAATATATCTTAAAATGAGATGTGCTATCTTCCTTTTTGCGTCATTTAGACGACAATTTACCCATCGCAACCTGTATATGAACATGGGGACATGGATATAAAAGGATGTACTGACTACAATAATCTACATACAGATACGCAAAGATATAAAGTGGGTGCTGAAAAGTTCTCGATCTACTTCCCAAAATTGAAATATTAAATTTTTCTGCACTCACTCTTACGTATATGCAGCTACATACTTGTATAAATGTTATATACATATATATATCTTCCATCGATGGGTTTGGTTTGCATCCTCTCTCCTGTCGTCGTAGAGCCGGCCGCTTTCCACGGCATGCAGCATAAAACGACATCATCAGAAGCGGCCTGGATGCAGCTCACTTCCCTTCCCTTCCCAAATCGAACCCGTAGGCCTCCACCATGGTGATGGAAAGCGACCGGATGGCATTACCATTTTCCCTTTTGGAGTGGGGAGGTCGTTGATTTGGGATGCGACCTGTGCGGATACATTTTCGGCCGGTAATTTGATCAGGTCCGCGGTTGAGCCAGGATCCGTCGCCCGGGACGCAGAGATAAAAAAATAGTTAAATATTCTTCTCTTGCAGATAGATTTTTTTTTTCTTTACTCCTGTAGCAGTGGAGACTTCTGGGGTTATTGGCCCTCGTTCGATGGCGTTCCTTCGGAGGACTGGCGCGATTGCGTCTCGATTAAGGGACGAGCCTCGCGGAAGGAAGTGGCTCTTGCAGCGTGTCTCACTGGCGTTGGTTCGAGGTAAGGCTTTCTCCATCATTGCGACTGGTAGAGGTTTAGAAAAAAAATTAATTATACTTACTTTGTTCAAACTTTTTTTTTTCAGTAAATAAATTTCTCTATTTTTTTTAACCTACGAGATAGCGTAGTGTCTGTGTGGCCAATGCAAGTATGTTACGATAGAATAATTTAATGATGTTTTTTTTTGTGCTTATATCCTGACAGTTGCATGTATTATTTTATCAGTTCTTTAAAACTAATTTGATTTGCCCGTCAATAACTTATTCTACCATAACCAGATTCACCCGAACTATAAATAAAATGAAAATGCCATTAAAATATGATTCTCCGGCAGAAATCACTTAATGGCTCCAATAGATATTTTAGATTTATCATTTGCTATAACAACTTTAAAACATCTAACTTAATTATTGCCAATAACTGTAGACCTCAAAAATACATCCATGTTTTGTTTTATGAATTCACAGGAAGGATTTTATATCAGATATGAATCGCTAGAAAAATCATATTAAATTATTCCATTGGTCGCACTTACATCACACACTCTCGTCAGTTAACTTGTCCTTAATGGACACTTTGTAAAATTCGTGCACACATCAATCATGGCACCACGAACAACTAAAATAAAACTAAAAAACTAAGACAAATATTAGAGGGTAAACCTAAAATATTTATAAGTTAATGAAAAATCAGACACAAATCTAAATTAAATATATTTCACCACAATACATACATATATATATATGTAAAATATTTGAAACGCCTATAAAAAAATAATAATGATGTTGATGATGAAAACGATGGCAAGATAAGCATTTTCACGGTTAATATATATATAATATATTTGATAAGCCTATATAATAATAATAATAATAATAATAATAATAATAATAATCTGGTCTGAACACCACCCAGACCCGGTTACGGAGATGGGACCTGTTACAATTCTATGGGACTACACAATACACACTGACAGAACAATCAAAGCCAACCGCCCAGACATTGTTATTAAGAGCCACAAACAAAAAAGTGCCTCCTTACTGATATGGCAGTCCCTGCAGACTGCAATGTATCTTTGAAGATATTCAAAAAGCTATCGAAATACAAAGACCTTGAAATAGAAATCTCAAAAATGTGGCACATGGGAACATCAACAAACCCTGTTGTAGTTGGAGCCCTAGGATTGGTTGGAAAAGATTGCAGTAGACTAATTGAAGGGATTCCTGGAGGCCCATGCCTAAAAGAAATACAAAAAAATTGTTCTCACAAGTATAGCCCAGACTTTACGGAGGGCTTTATCTATGTAATTTTTTTTTGTCAGTGGAAAGTGTCATGATGCCATTTCTAACCTTAGGTCTCTGAGCGGGACCCGGAAAGAAATGTGTACACGCCAGAAATAAAAAGAAATAAAAATAATAATATTAATAATAATAGCAACGTAAGCCTCTTCATGATCAACATTTTGCCTGTACGAAACAATCTGATGGAAACAAAGCCCGTACCTAACAGTGGCTCTGTAGTGCAGGGTTAATAGCTGAAACCGAAGGCTTTATTCTTGCTGCATAGAGTCAATGCTTGCTAATTAGAAATTACCAAGTTCACACACTGAAAATTTATTTTCAGCCCAAAATGCAGATTTTGTGATAAATATCCAGAAACAATTGATCATCTTGTATCAGGTTGCACGGTATTAGGACCTAATGAATATAAAACCCGGCATGATAAAGTGGGCCAATATCTGCATTGGAAAATCTGCAACTTTTACGGAGAGGAAATCACAAGAAAATGGTCGGAATGTCACATAGACCAGATTACAGACCTGTAAGTAAGAATTTTATGCAAATAAAATTTTGTACGAAAATTAAAATAAAAGATTATTTGTCAAATCTAATCGCTCGTGAACAAATCAAATTAACCGCCTAGACGTCGTGAGATGACATAACCGCAAATCTAATCGCCACAAATCTAATAATAAAAACGTCGTTCCTAGAGACCCACAAAAAATCGCCTAGACGTCGTGAGTAGAGACCCACAAATCTAATCGAAGACGTCGTGGATAGAGACCCACAAATCTAATCGCCCTTGACGTAAAATCCAGAAAATCTAACCGCCTAGAATCGTGGTTAGAGACCCACAAATCTAATCGCCTAGACGTCGTAGAGACCCACAAATCTAATCGCCAGACGTCGTGCGTAGAGACCCACATTAGACGTCGTGAGTAGAGACCCACAAATCTAATCGCCTAGACGTCGTGCGTAGAGACCCACAAATCTAACCGCCTAGACGTCGTGAGTAGAGACCCACAAATCTAATCGCCTAGACGTCGTGCGTAGAGACCCACAAATCTAATCGCCTGAACCTAGACCCACAATATCGTGGTACCCACAAATCTAATCGCCTAGACGTCGTGCAGTAGAGACCCACAAATCTAATCGCCTAGACGTCGTGGTAGAGACGTCGTAATAGAGACCCACAAATCTAATCGCCTAGACGTCGTGAGTAGAGACCCACAAATCTAATCGCCTAGAGTAAAATCAAATCGCCTAGACGTCGTAGAGACCCACAAATCTAATCGCCTAGACGTCCCACAAA